CAGATTCTGCGTGGTAAATTGAATTGATCTCAAGGGAGGGGTGGTAGAAGAGTGTTGCGTTTGGAAAATTGCAATTTTATGTGTTATAGTTTCGGGTGATAAAAATGTAATTTGCAACAAGAAATTGTGAAAGGAACAGTTTTAAATTCGTATTCATCATGACACAACTTCCTGCTAAACTGAATGTCATCAATTATAAGTGTTGCGGTACATTTCAAGCAAGAAACTGGATCATATTTCACTTCCAAGGACTCCACACGCGCCTGGCTTGCGAAGTTGAGCACGCATCGCCTTAGAAACATATATGTCTTCCCAATTCTATACCGACTGATCGATCAAACGATACTAAATGAACGATATGGTTGTTTATGGTCGAAGTGTATCCTGTCCGATATTCAACAAAGCCAAAGGATTTATTTTATAATGGAAGATTTCCCAAACATCGCTAACTGTGTGTAAACAATAGTGCTATCTTGACTGTGAAAGCACAGGATTAATTAAAACTCGTTATGGACTGTAAAATTCCTTTCATTTACATTGCTGAAACTCAACGATCAAGAATGATTATGTCGAAGACTCAAGTATAGCTATCTGTCATCAGACGAACACCAAGACTCCACTGTGCGTTTCCGTGCGTGCGGTACATATAACTTGAATATTTAGGACGATATATGCACCAGACACTGGTATTGTACTTCATAGGAAATTATTTCGAGAACACAACGGCTGGAATCTGAGCCTAAACGTAGGTCTGATGAAAATATTGTCAAAAGTGCATGTAAGTCGACCGCCTGGCGGTCGACAAAGCTGATTAGCTAATTCACAGGGAAATGGGTTGTGATTGGTTGGTCGCTAACATGAAAAGATTTGAAAAGATCAGAATATTTTCAACGGTAAATCAACGCATATAAATATGCATACAGTGTAATATTGTAAATCTTTTGATGCCGAACGACAACTAGTCTATGATCAGTATGTACCATCTAAAACTAAAACTAGAGGGGAGTAGAGCAGTATGTGTCAAATTCTTCAGCGTTGTATTTTTCCGTTGTGATAAACAATACAATATATAATTTTTTATACACGATCTAAGTTTTGTGATTAATCATAATAAAACTGAACTCTGATACAAATATGTGCGCATTCATGATTTACATTTTGATTGTTAACATAGCACGCAGGGACGCCGGAACTGGGGGCAGGGGGGCGGCTGCCCCCTTGCCTTTTGCTAGGGGGGCAGGGGGGTAGAAGTGCCCTTTTAGTTATAAAAAAATACGTGATAAATCACATTTAGAACGATGGTTTTTGTACGAAAATTATGAGATTCAGACAAATACAGTTTATATTTCACTTGTGGTATGTCCGGAAAAAAATTTTGGGTCCGCCCCCCTTTACCTTATGATCGTTCCGGCGTCCCTGATAGCACGTACAAAATATTTTATTTAGATTTTACCATTGTATGGCGATTTCAAATGTATAAATTGTAAGTCTTGTAAGAGTTGGGATCACTGGTTGGGATGCAATTCAACAATGGTACATTGGCCATTGCCACTTTGCGTAGGCAGATTTTATCGCATTTAGGCCCCGTTTACACTATACCGGTATCGAAAGGCTGTGAAGATTTTTAATCTCAGAGACCCAAATAAACATGCCAATTCTGTCAAACTAATAAGCATTTGCTTCTAACCATTGCTCCGTAACGGCAAAAGAAGATGTCGTGACCAGCGAATCCGGTATAGTGTAAACAGGGCCTTATAGAATGTGTTGAAAATGTTATATTATTACTAGCTGTAACTGTTTGTTTACAAAGGTTTAAGTATATAAAAGCAACGGGCTCCAAGGGGTTACCAATATTTTAAATATTTATTCGAATATCTGTACTTATCGACTCTTACTAGTTTACAAACTTGCAATAAAGTGAAATCGACAACTTTCATTGTATTTTTAGGTATTACATTATGTGTCAATCATCATCGACATCGTTAATTATTGCAAAGTGGGCTTTTGACAAGTTTTCATCAGACCTACGTC